ATATTGTGTATCTGGAATGAATTTTAGATCTTTAAGTCCATCTCGTGAAAAATCGGAGCAGAAACAAAGGTGTTGCGTTTATATTTTTGTTGAGTGTGTGTGTGTGTGTCTATATATATATATATATGAATTGTTGTCTTTTTAAATAATTTTTCAAAAAATCTTTTTTATATTTTGATTAATTGGCTTTTGTGAAGCACCTTGTGATTTTAAGCGCCTCGTGATTTTTATCTTGAGAGGCGCTATAGAAATGATATTTTCTTCTTCTTCTTCTTTATCTTGAGAGGTGCTATATAGTAGATCCTTTTCTTTCTTTCTTTTCTTCTGTATTGTGGTGTTGCTGTTGCTAATGGTTAGCTTCTACTAGCCAAGACGCAGTCTCTCTCTTGGCTACTAAATAAGCAAAGCTTTCTGCAGTCCCAAGCCAAGGTGATTCCATGAATAATAATAATACCTCTCTCTGATGTAGAATTGACAATTTTTTCCCCTTTTTTTTGTGCAACTAATCTGGGTGATAGGGGTTGAAGAAAACGTATGCGTTCAGTATGCATGTGGAACTCCGTGATCAATCTAGCCTGGCAAGCCAGACTAAATAAATGTATTATTTAGTCTGGCCACGCTCCATTGACGGCTCTCGGTTGTGGGGCGGGTTCTACCGTTGTCTTTCAAATGATCTCCGCATGCTACTGGACGATGAATGTGACATACTCTTGTTTCACTCTGTTGCATCATCCCACCCACCAGGCATATAGAGTGCCCTGATTGGCCCACGAAGTGGATAAAGCTCTGTGATTTGTTCACTAAGCAGATAGAGCACTATGATTGGCCCACCATTATGGACCAATCACAGCTCTTTATGTGTTTGAAACCCCTCTAGAGAGCTGTGATTGGCTAGCCAGAGTCCTGGTAGGAGCTGCTGAGGTTCCAATGGCGCATGCCTAGACCAAACTTTGCAATGCAAGAATTTGGTCTAGTTCACTAGGCTATGATCAATCAATAATTAAAAAAATAAATAAATAAACAACCTTTTAAATTAAAGGCTTTGCCAGATAGTGTCCTGACTGGGAGGTGGAAAACTGTGACTTTTACACCTTTAGTGGTTTTTCATTCCTTTGTAGTTAAACTATAGATCCATGTAACTGCTTGCTATGATTTTCATTGTTGAAAGTGACAGTGGAGTCATTGTTTTCAAATAAACAGAAAAGTGAGAAGATTCGGTTTTCTGCAGTTATTTATTACAGAGCTACAGTGACATTTTATTTACTCCAGTTAAATGCCAAGGTCAAAAATTTCCCATCTTACGCACGACATGGACAACAAAGGACCTCAGTGCATCTCAGTGCTTTTCCATTATTGATTCGGCATAATTTCTTACAGCTACTTTACATCTTGTCCAGGCCCAGATGCGGCCCCCTTCATTTGAATATTAATCAAATAACTAACTCAGGCGTTTTGTTGCACGAATCATGATAACCTTCTGAAAATTTAATTTCCTCCATTTTTAAAATTCTATTAAATTGTTGCAATGGATTCACTTCCAGTCTCTTATTCAGAAATGCTGTAATGTAATTTGCTGGCATACAGATCAAATACTTAGAGGCTTAAATTACAATAATCAGAGCACTTCAGCCACTGCATGAATAAGGTCTTTGTTTGTAGCTCATCCAGATGAATTCTAAGTGTTTGTGTGTGTGCATCTCACAATGCGAGCAAGTGCTTGTGCGTGCAAACATCTCCAAGAACAAGTGAGGGCAAGCAGATGGCATGTTGATACTAAGCCTACATGTGCTCTGCCCTATGCATGCCTTTCAGTGACCTTTCACCTCAGTCTGACTCCCATTCTTCAGATTTCTCACATTACTCTGAGGTTTGGTTAAACTTTCATGGTTGATTATTAGAAATTCGGATATATCTCAAACAAACAAACAAACAAATAAACAAACATATCTGTGGATGAGTCATTGGTAATACACAGTCGAAGGATAATGTATGAGATAATAGGTGGAAGGTTAGTTTGTTCTGACTCTCTTAAATCTTGGTTTTAGTCTTTTTTGCTGCCATAAACAAAATATTAAAGGAGTGATTCACTCTTCATGCAGTAGAGAGTAGTGTGTGCAAGAAGAAGAAGAGGATGGTGTGTGAGAGAAAGCTTGTGAGAGTAGACGGAGGGACAAGGAGGGAAAAAGCAGAGGAACAAAAAGTGATACAACTGCTCTGTAGGAATAAAGCTACCTAAAACGCTGCCTGCCTCCTCGTCCTTCTTCGCCAGCCTGAGTGGTCCCAGACACAAAATATAGGTTACCAGTAACGTACATAGAAGGTAACAACTGACTTGCAATGTGGATGTTTTTATCTCCACAAATGACTCAAGCCAGGAGGAGCTTCAGCTATGTGGTGGTGTTGCTAATGTTAACACTTAGCTTAAATCAGCTGCTACATTCTCTGCTGTTTCCTGGACTTAGAAAAACAACAGCCTTCCCTGTCGTGAGCCAAGATGTGAGTCCATGAATGCTAATTCACAGTGATGTGACGTAGATCTGTGAAGGTTTTCACCATCTGTTTTTTTAATCAGAAGCTAATGCAGGAGACAGGTGTAGGAGACTATTTTCATGTTCAGCCTGCATGAAAAACTCAGAGTGACTTATTATAATCAGAAAAAAAATTATTATAATCAATCTCAGAGTTAAAATAACATTTTAAAAATATTTTGTTCTGTCAACCACACCCTTAAAAATGTTCTGGAAACAAAAACATCATATCTGAGTTTCAGGTTTAAGCTGCAAATCTATGTAAGCAAAAGTAAACAATAAAGAAATAAAATATTTGTCTTGTGTTATTTTTCCTTTGGTCAAAATTGTGAAATACTCCGGTTTCGAAATAATAATTTTATTTGCATCACCAACGAGCCAAAGTGTATTAAATGTTTTTTTAAATGAGCACCTTTGTCCTGATCTGGACCAGTTAGAAGATAAAAACACATCCAGCTGATGGTCGACTCCCTACTTGTCTTCTTCTTTCTTTAGATGTTTGCAACTTTTGGACAAGTGGTCCTCCATTCATTAGTGTCTGGTCGTAAAAGCTTCCCATGCTGCTCAAAGTTGGAGGTCATACAGATTTAAGAACTTTTGAATGCCCCCTTCTACGCCTGACCTACTTTTACTGTAAAATCCGCCTTTTTCTGTGAAAACCTGCAGTTTGGGGTATCTATAATGGATGTGGATGAGAATTAGGCCAGTCTAGCTCAGGTGGCTGTGGGTAGATAAACAAGTTATTTCAGTTTTCAGGAACCATTCCAGAAGCAGAACAGCTGCATGGAGCTCCTAATTTAAAGCCTCCCTTCTATTTAAATATACTGCTTTAGAGTTCACCAGAAATAGCAGAGTAATAGCTCCTTTCCCTTGTGCCTGGCCCGTGGCCCACATTCAGGTCTGGAGCTACAACCTTCAGAGACCCTCAGTGCTGATGCGGCTCTGGTTTGGCAGAGCTCGGTTACCTGGGAAATCAGCCAGACACAGAAAGGTGGGCAGATGAGCAAAAATAAAGAAGCCAATTGTGCTCGAGTGTCCAAGTTTCCCTGGAAAAGGTGAGGTAATTGTTTTGCCAAAAAAGGAATTACTGAGAGATTGAATTTTGTTCTTCATTCTGTCTGCAGATACTAAAGTTCTGTGGCAACTAACAAAACCACAAAATTACTGTTGAATCACAAGGAGACGATGATGTACTTTTAGAACAAAAGCTAAAAATCCACATCATGCCTGTTAAATAGTTAATTGTGAATTTTTAGTAAGATGTTGGGACAGAAAAAAGTCTTTGTAGAGTCGTTATGTTCTGAAGCTTCGGTGGCGACCATAAATGTGTCTCAGCCCTCTTAAGTAACACTAGATTTTAAAACGTGAAGCTAGAACTTTAACATTGACCCCAGCATTAGAAACATGACCAGTTCCATACGTGATGCCACTCTGCACTGTTTAATGTTGGCTTTTTTACCGATATTATCTAACTCTTAATTTCTGATGTCAAAAACAAAAAGTAAAAAGCAGTTTCTCAGTGAACTTGGTCTTTTGAGAAAGAAGCACAGTTACTCCTTTCATGCTTGAGGTTTTGGACCAGGTATGATTGACATTTTGGAAAGCAATACATGTTCCTCAAAGGCTTATCCACACAGCAGAGGTTTGATACAGATCGATCTGTGATTTGTGACCTTGAGATGAAACCCAGCGTGTCTCTGGTTGCTTTTCCTTTGTTTTTCAGCCTTTGTTTCAGATTTTTAGTGAAGAGTGCTACCTAGTTACAGAAACGCTAGAGACGGCCTTACTATCTGCACTCCTCACTGTCTCTTCTTCTTTGAGAAAGATTTTTTTTTTTACTTTTGAGTCTGAGAAACAAGCTCACACGCCTTTCTGCTGACTTTCAGTCAAAACATTCTGATTCATCTGATCTCAGGATCCTATTGCCTCCTTCTCTGAACGGTAAGATTAACCTGCAGATAACGTTGGGCCCGAGGACTCGAAAGCACCTGGTTTGACTGAACATATCAGAACAGGATTGTTGCAGTATTCTATAAGATGCACAATGAAGCTCAGGAACTTTCTCAACATTTTTGCTTTAGTAATAAAGTGGAGATAAAGATCTCTGAACAAGTTAACCATTTCAGTCTCTTTTCTCAAGTCTGAGCAGAGCTAGCTGAGAGAATCATAGAGAAGGTATGATTTAGTTTAGGGAGGACCATCATTTTGATGGCACACTCTTCCTCTTGAAAGTGGAAGGGTTCTCCAACGCACGAGGTTGTACTCTACATTTTTAATAAATGAGGCATGATTTGTCTCTGCTTATCTGCAAATTAATTTAAATAATTTAAAATGTGATGATTCTCACTATTAAAGGGCACTATTTTATTTGTTTAAGCATACAGTTTCATATCATTGGTTCTGTGGTCATTGGATTCATCCTGTGGTGTGTAAATTATTTGTGAGAGTAAGTCTTTAGGAGTATTGCCTCACCAGGGCTTTGGTCTCCTCTTCATCTTTGTAGTAGAAGAGCTGATCAGCTTTCAGCACAAACCAGCGACTGTGCCAAGTCTTAACAAAGCCTCCCTGCTTCCGGAGCCACCCACATCTGATGACATCGGATCTCTGAACCTCAGGACTGGATCGACCTCTGGTGCGCTGAGAACTGCTGTGTGACGCGCATGAGTCGTCCATTATGGCAACTCAGGTCTGGAAAAAAAAATTGAAACAACTATTTTAACCTTATTTCATTTAGAGCAGACATGTTCAATCCAAGTCCTCGAGAGACAAAAGTTATTTTTCGTCAAAGTTGCAGATGGATAACTCCAGCAGTCATTGAGTGAAAGGTAGACACCCGTAAGGTCTCCTTTCCATCGCAAAATCACATGACCACACACTCATGACAATTTAAAGGATGTAATTAACCTAACATGCATGTTTTTGGTCTGTGGGATGAAACCGAAGTCCCCTGAGAAAATCCACACATGCATGGGGAAAACATGCTAAACCTGCAAAGAAAGGCTGCAGTTGGGTTTTAAACCTGTGACTTTCTGCTGCAAGGCCGCTGGTCCACCATGCAGCTGCTGTCCAGCATATTTTAGTTGTTTCTCTGCTCCAACACATCTTATTCAATTGTTGAAAAATCTGTTCTGAATATCATCAAGCTCTGCAGAAGCGTGTTACTCACCCACCAACTCACATCAGGTTTGTTGAAGCAGGACAACATCTAAATTGTTCTCTCTGCTTCAACACACCTGATTTACTGACAACTTCAAGGACGGGGATCTGATTATCCCTGATTAAGAGAAACCACAATCTCTGTGTTATAAATGCAGTACTTAGATGTAAATTACTTTTTTCTTTTGTTTTTTATTTCATGAGGGTAAATCTTTTTTCCCCTTAAGGTATGCATTCAGACAATGTTTGAAATGAAAAGACAACAATAGAACAATGGGAGGAAGAATTCTTAAAGAGCAAGTCACCCCCTACCAGAGTATCACTCCACTCCCACTTCCTGTTTGAAAAATGCAACAAATGCTGTTGCCTAGAAGACAGAGAGAGCGGAGCCGCTAACAAATGCACACACACACACACACACACACACACACACACACACACACACACACACACACACACACACACACACACACACACACACACACACACACACAGGCTCACAACAACATTGTGAAATCATATCGTACCAGCTAACGTTCTAGGGTACCTTTTAGCCAATAGCGATGATAGATTTGAATTCAAATGCAGTACAGAGTTTTTACCTGACAATGAAACAACACCGACAGTTTTAGGCAGAAAATTAAAATTTGAACTAAAATGCACTGAAGTGCTAAACTATTGACTACACGTGTATATAGCACGATTAAGCACACATTTATATAGTTTATCAGAAAAAAAGTCGATTTGGGGGTGACTTGCTCTTTAAGCTGGATAATAACTGCGAGGTGACGTTCCATGTCCCAATAACCAGTTCCCTTGTCCGGGCTGCCCTTTGTCACCCGTTCTGTTTATAACCATAATGGACAGAATCTCTAGGTGCCGCCGTGGTGCGGAGTGTGTCGAGTAAGGTGGCAGGAGAATCTCGTCTCTGCTTTTGTGGATGATGTGGTCCTCCTAGCTTCATCCAGCTCTGACCTTCAACTCTTGCTGGGTAGGTTTGCGGCCGAGTGTGAAGCAGCTGGGATGAGGATCAGCACCTCCAAATCTGAGACCATGGTTCTCGACCGGAAAAGGGTGGCTTGCCAACTCCGAGTCGGGAGAGAGGTCCTACCTCAAGTGGAGGAGTTTAAGTATCTCGGGGTCTTGTTCACGAGTGAGGGTAGGAGGGATCAGGAGATCGACAGGCGGATTGGTTCAGCGTCTGCAGTGATGCGGACGCTGAGGCGATCTGTCGTGGTGAAGAGGGAGCTGAGCCAGAAAGCCAGGCTCTTGGTCGATCTACGTCCCAGTCCTCACCTATGGCCATGAGCTTTGGGTAATGACCGAAAGAACGAGATCATGGATACAAGCTGCCGAAATGAGTTTCCTCCGTAGGGTGGTCGGGCTCAGCCTTAGAGATAGGGTGAGGAGCTCGGACATTCGGGAGGGACTCGGAGTAGAACCGCTGCCCCTCCGGATCGAATGGAGTCAGTTGACGTGGTTTGGGCATTTGGTCAGGATGCCTCCTGGACGCCTCCCTGGGGAGGTGTTTCAGGCATGTCCTGCCAGCAGGAGGCCCCCGGGTGGACCCAGGACACGTTGGAGAGGTTACATCTCCAATCTGGTCCGGGAACGCCTTGGGGTCCTGCCGGAGGAGCTGGTGGAGAAGGCCGGGGAGAGGACGGTCTGGAGCTCCCTAGTTGGGATGCTGCCCTCGCGACCCGGACCCGGATAAGCGGAGGAAGACGACGACGATGACAAATAACTCTGCAGCCCAAAACTTTCTTTTATCATTTTTCTCTCACCTACATGCTGCCAGGTTGGATCTTATCTGAGTATTTTTAAATCAGTGTCTCTCTTCAGTCTTTCAAACAAGTTTTAACTAAAGGATTTTTTTTCAGAACACACAAACTCATTTAAAGCCTGAATGACTTTCAGAGCCTGCAACACTTTACTTAATTTATGAACCAAACAAAAAATTGTCCATTAAACTCTTCTGATTTTGTGTTACAAAAACACTTCATGTGCATTTTTGTTTGAGTCCTGGACATATTTAAATGCACAAGTTGTTGCCATAGTGTATTTGTATCTCTATCCACATCAGAAAAACAAAAACCACAGAACCAGAACTATTAACGTTTGTGTCACTGTAGTGGGATGTGTCACCATGGTAACACAGAAAAAAGAGGGAAAAGTAATGGTTCAGATGGAAAAAGTCTGCAACAGATCTGCAGTGAAAAGCACAGATTTTAGTTACAATGGAAAATGTCAAGAATGGATAATTACATTCCTGATTTCTTCCAGATATTAGTCAGTTTCATTAATATTATGAAACATGAATTCCTATACATAACTGCATGTTCGGCCAGGACTCCATTGAAAATGAGGTTTTTAATCTCAATGGGTCTTTCCTGGTTAAATGAAGAAGAAATAAATAAAATAACTCAAGCCAACATGGGAAAAAAAGAAGCAAAATGAGAACATGGTGCAACAAAAATGGAAATGTGTCATTAAATCAAACTGTTTCACTTCTATTAAACGTCACCAAATTAGGTTAAATACTGATCATCGCATCATAATTATTATAAGCCTTAAAGCACAAACTGAATCCTGCTTCCCAAGCATCTCGTTTCCATATCAACACAAACCTCTGCGCCGCTGTGTGACCTATGCTGGAAATGCTGCCGTCAGCTCTAAGCTTGTGCTTGGCTTGGTGGATTTCCAGCCAGCTGGTCCAGATGAGGACCAGATGCATTTCAGCAAGTAGAGCAAGTGCACCAGTGAATTAAAACTTCCCAGTTCTGCTCTCATGTTGTCCAGGAGAGCATGTAGAGACGTGTTCTTGCACATGATGTTTGTTCTTCCTCTAAGAAACAGATGCTTTTGGCTGTGTAAAGAAAAAACTCATTTATATGATTAAATAACTACATTAAATGATGACCATTGAGATGTGATGATTCCATATAAATATGAAATATCAATCTGACTGATCTTTGAATGTTTAATCAGAAGATTCTAGTTATTTTTACTTGTTCAGGGACCATAAACACACTTCGTATTAATTCAGACAGAGTCAGTATATAGTTTATAAAATGAATGTAATTCTTTTTCCTAAACTAACAATTTATACATGACAAGATATGAATAATGAGGTGTGATGTGGTGGATGTGAGGTGTTGTGATGGAAGCTAGATGTTGTAGCAACCGTTCTTTGTATCTGAGAGAAATTGTGAAATCTGGGTGTAAAAGAATTTGTTGTTTGGTTATAACTAGAGTTGGTTATCTAAAAGCAGCATCAGACGCAATCTGTCATGCCAAGTCTACGCGCCCTTGGTGTGGAGGTTCTTGTTCGATCCGGGGGTCGATGGTCACTGCCGGTGGAGTGAACCTCTGATGTCAGGAACCCATAGATCCGATAGGACCCGTCCAGTCTGAGATTCCGCGAGGTGAAGGCCGAAAGCTGGAATGCTTATTTGCATCTAAGGTCGATGTTTGCTTGGCTCTTAGAGAGCCGGTTGTCTGGTATCAGCCGCAGCGTTGCAGACAGGCTTTGACAGGAGGTCAAAGGAGAAGATGGTTTCAAAAATGCTTCTTTCCTGAATTGGCTGGTTCGAGGGTCATAGAGAAACTGAATTAATCCTGTTTTATTAAACGACTTTGTTTTGATTTCTGGCCAATCAGAATTTGACACGTTTCTGAGTATTTACCAGAAACCCTCAGAAAGCCACGCCTTCCTTCATACTAAATTCTTAACACTGTGAATAAGAATCTTTAACCTTATGTGAGGTGTATGAGTGTAAACAATGATCAACTTGTTAAGTCAAACACACTGATTTGTGATATAAATGGATCATTGTAAGAACAATATTCATTTCAAATCCATTGATTTAAGCACAGGTTATTCAAACATTTGATTTAAACATCTTGTTCATTCATCACATATGATTATTTAACTTCTAACTATAAAATCGTGGAGTCTTCACTCATTCAGAGTGAAGAATGTTGACGTCTAGCATTCACACAGCGAGTGCGAGAACCTTGGGTGAGAATGTTTGAATGTTTTGTCTTCATGGAATGTAAACACGCACTGCAGAACCTTCTGGGTTTGGAAGGCCATACAGAAAGTGGATTTACTGTATTTCTGTAGACGAAGGGTTATTATGTTGGTCAATATATAGGTGAAAATTGACCCTTTTGGACATTACATATACATAACACTAACACTGTGTACACCTATATGCCAAAACATTCTTGAATAAATCAGATTTTTCTCACCTACAGAATCCTGATGCCATTACCTGCTGTGTTTTTGAGAAGCAGTCCCAGCTTCCTGCACAAACACACGGTTAACAGCGCTGCTGGGACAGACCTGTGCTGTTCTGTGAACCGAACCGGTGAACAGCTCTGAGTATCCTTGCTGTAAATAACTTGGAGGTGGCTGACAGTAGAAACGTTGTTAAAAATTTACACCACACTGTGGTGTTGTTCAGAGGAAACAAAGAGCCAGAGCAGACACAGTTGTGACCATTTTGTTGCGACGTCCTAATTTGCAG